GAGGCGTGTGGCGGGGGTGGGTCTGCGCGTGAGGCTGCCCGCCCCGCTGTGTGAGGTTCCGCGGAGAGCGTTCTTGAGCACGGGCTGGAAGTCTAACGCCTTTCAGGTTTCTGTAGCTCTTTCAGTTGTGTATTTTCAATTAATGTAAAAGTATTTAAACTTAAAACCATAATTTAAACACTTTTCTTTTTTTTTTCTTTTTTTCTTTTTCCCATGCTGCAATTATTTAAGCCCTTAGTAGCATCAAAAATGGCATCCCAAGAGGAAATCCTGCGTGATGAACGGTTTAGCCGTGTTACGAGGGATCCCAGGTTCTGGGAAATTCCGGAAGAGGAGTATAAAGTGAAGGTCGACAAACGGTTCCGGTCTATGTTTCATGACAAGAAGTTCAAGCTGAAATACACCGTGGATAAAAGAGGTCGCCCTGTTAATTTCAGCACTGTGGAGGACCTCAGGAACTTTTATGCCGTGTCAGATTCGGACTCTGAGCTTTCAGAAAGTGACAGTAAAGCACATACTGGGAAGAAAGCAAAGAAGAAGAAAGCCAAGCCCAAAGGAAAAGCAGATGCTCCAAAAGGAATTGCCGATGTCATTCCCAGGGAGGAGAAAAAAACAGGCAAGCAAGGCAAGGGCCAAATAGGTAAAACTTCACCTAAATTAGATGACCAACAGAATGAAGGAGAGAAAACTGCATCTAAATCCAAGTTGAAAGAAGACTGTAAGAAAACCACAATTGCAGTTGATCACTCATCAAGTGGAAGATCACGTTCAGTTCAAAGTGAGCAAAAGACTTTGAAGTCAAGTGGGACTAAACCAGTGAGGGCTCCTAGGACGGAACCTTCCCTAGGAGAGAAAGTAAAAGAATCAGGTTTGTTGTTAATATGGAAGGGGCAGAGGTTGGCAAGGTGGTTTCCCTGGGTGGTGTTTGCCAGATCCGACAGGTATCGGATTTGGATTCGGTATTACTGAAGAATCAGGTGTATCTGGGGTCCTTTTCATCGTTGAAGATGAAATTGGAGTCGGAGTAGTTGGAAAAGTAAAATGTCCAGTAGTGTATATACTTGGGTGTTTATCAAGCTCAATAAGAATGTCAAAGCCATGAATGTTTCAACACATCACTTGTTGACTGGATGCATGATGGCAGCATTGAGCCCTTCGCTTGAGAGGGATGCAGTTTTAAGAGTGCTGACAAGGGCTTATTTCTTTATATTGAAAAGATTGAAAAGCTTACTAAAATACAGATTGAAGAGACCGGTGGTGAAGACTTTTACTTCTGAAGTATTTGGAATTTGTCTTGTTTTTCTGTGGACAGGATAAAATGTACAAAGTCATGGCCGTAACCAATCTCACTGGTCTAGAGAGAGCAGGTGACTTGAAGAAAAGCTTCCTTTGTTTTGTTTGAGCATTCGTGTAGCCTTAAGTTACTGAAGTTGATTTCTATCTGTAGTTTCAGTATGGAGAAATAAATAATATAAACAAAATATAAATATTAAAAAAATAATAATTTTATCAGATTTTACGTTTGGTAATACAGTTGTGGGGCTAAAGAGCAATAGATTAGACAAGCTGAGAAGGCAGTACTGGTGACTTATGTTGTTTTGTACTTGCCTGACATAAGTTGTTGTATCACGTTATACATTTACACAGTCTGTAAACTTGCAGGAAGACAGCTGAGATTTTTTCTTCTTTTTGTAATGACTCATGTAATTACAACATAAAAGTAGATATTGAACATTTGTTTTTCAGTGACTGTGGGCACATCCACCTGTGACCAAAGTGACATCAATAAAAGTCAACTAGAGGAAGCAATTTCTGGAAGTGAAGACTATTCTGAATATGCAGAATCTGAAGAAGAGGGGTCAGAAGTTGATGAGGAAGCAGGCGATGAAGAGGAGTCAGAAGATGAGGAAACAGATGAGGAGGATAGTGATTCAGAAGATGAAGAAAGTGATATTGGGCCTGATCTAGCTAGGGGCATAGGGAATATTGAAACAAGCTCCGATGACGACGACGATTTCAGTGACCTATTTCCAAAGGAACCAGAAATTGAGCATTCGTGGGGCGAGCTAGATAAAGATGCACCTCGTGGAGATGAGGTAACACTGGAAAATTTACTCTTTTAGCATGTGAAAAGTTGCTGCCGTTAATTTGACAATTGAATGTGAATTTGACATTAATTTGACAAATGAATGTGAAGATAAAGATATGCACTGTGATGAATTCATTCCAGACCTTCATCTATGAAACCATCTGCAAAAGTCCCAAGATTTGCATGGCATGAGCTGTACTCCATCAGTTCTTCATTTTCCTCTGTGTGTCTTCACTGCTTCCTAACAGTTGCTGCCACCACTGCAGCAGTGTTATTTTCTGTTTTTCCTTGGCCCAAATGTTCTTATTTTTAGTTGTGACTATATTGCATCAGACTTTGAGGGGGGATAAGCACCCCATACTACACTGATCTGAAAACTAGACTTGTAGTGAGCAAACCTGGATTAACTTCTGACTTATCAAGGGTAGAATTCTTAGCCTTTTAGATATTTCTAATTGCATCATTAAGAAATCATTAGACAATGAAACAGGTCTCTGAAACTCTGCACAATTAGAGTGCAGGAAATCACAGTACTGTACAACACTGTTATAATGTCAGCCTGTAAGATTCTGTTATCGTCATATAGGAAGTTAGAATAGCAGCTGGTATCACAGTGTGGTAACTGCAGTGCTAATTCTGGCATTGGTGCAGTCCAGTCTGTGGTGTCTTAGGTTATGTGTCTTTGCAGCTGCTCTTTTGATTGCTGTTTCTGAGCTTTCTTACTTTGAACATACAAGGTGTTGAGGAAATTTTGCTTGTATGTTTTCAGTGAGTTTAATTGTTGCCTTTGGATTTACCAAAGATGATTGCTATTCCCCTTAGCACTCAGAAATTAAACCTATAAATCTATAAATCTTCCATCTTTTTTTTTCTCCCCCCTTGCTCTGCAGATTACAAGTAGATTGGCAGTTTGTAACATGGATTGGGACAGGCTGAAGGCTAAGGACTTGCTGGCTCTATTTAATTCTTTCATACCCAAAGGAGGCGTTATATTTTCTGTTAAGGTAAGATCTGAGTTCTGAAAGAAATATTGCTTTTTGCTGTAAAGAAAAAAAAACAGTCTACAGATCAAAAAAGTGAGGTAGTTTCTCATTTATCTTGTTAATTTCTCTTTTTATTATTCTGCAGAACTATTTGTGCTAGAATTTCGTTTGCTGTTAGAAATAACCACGTGCTTCCTTTCAGCATTGGGCATGTATATGGAATTAAATCCTGAAGCTGTTGGCTCCTTGTGTTTATAAGGTTCGCTCTAAATGTAGTTTCACTGAAATTAAGAGTGTTGTTTCCAAATTCTAACAGGCTTCATTGGCCAGCTTAATTTTCAGTAGTCACTATGGCTATCTCCAGATACTTTTCAACTCTTTTTATTGTTACATAATACTGCATATCTTTTGCACCAATTTTGAGCTATTTGCAAATTGGCTAAATGTCAGTCAGTTAAATGATGTATTTTTTGTATGTGTTTTTTAATGCCTGCCTACAGTTGAAACTTTGGGAGAAATTTTAGCCAAGTAGCTAATCCCAGAAAGGCCATTCTTGCGTATGATTAAAGTTCCTGTTGTTCTTCATCTCCTTCAAAATATTCTGATTCCTAAAAGACAGTTTTTTTTTTTTTAATTTTATATTACTGTATTTTCTGTGAACAAAAATTTGGAAGGTATCAAAGTTTATAGAGTTGATCTCCTCGCCCTTTTTTGTTTTTTCTCTAAAATTAGTAAAGTCCAAACAGTTTGTGAGATACTTAATTGGTACGTTTCTGTAGTTGGAATTTATTTTTATGTTGTTGTCTCTGTAGATTTATCCTTCAGAGTTTGGAAAAGAAAGATTGAAAGAGGAAGAACTCCAAGGACCTGCAGAACTATTTGACCTTCCAGAGAATACCACAGAGAAAGACGGGTATTAACTTACTCTTCAAATGAGAGACATAGTAAATCTAATTCTCAGTGAAAATCCCAATGAACTGCTGTTTTCCAAACTTCATTTGTGGAAGTCTCCTGTAGACAGCTTTTTGAGGAGGATTTTAGATTTTAGAATTGCCCCTGTTTCATTGTTATTGCATTGAATAAATGGATTATGATGAAACTGGGGAGCTTGATAAGTGACTTGAAATTTTTTATTATATAGCTGGTTGGAGTAATAGATGAAACAAAAGTTTGGAGAGCTTAATGTAGTATTCTGCTTTACAAATTACTATTCATGCAAGAAACTCCTTTTGCTGCTTCTTGTCAAAATTTTTATCAGCGTAACCAGCAGGGAACTAAACTCAGTCCAAGAGTTCCCAGACTGAGGTATCTTGAATACCATCAGCAGCAGCCCTGGCTTGCTAGGCTGAGCTCATCAAGCCTACCATCATCCAGGCATCTTCAGGCATGTCTCTTTTCCTGTTATTTTGCTTAAAAGTTTTGTCCATATGGAGCTTGAGATGTTTTACTTTTATATTTTTCCAGAATTTCCAGATGTTTGGCAGCCCAATTGGAACCCCTTTTGTATTGTACATCTGACTGCACTGCCATATATTTGAAAATTCTTCTAAACTAAATGCAGATCCTATTGCAGAAAGCGCAGTGCATCAGGGAGTTGTATAATTAACTTAAAATATTGTATGCTGAAGTCACTTTCACTGTGTTTATCAAGGTGCATCTTAGTGCGTTCGACTTTCTTTTCAGTAAGTGCTGTAGTGAGATCTCTTGGTGATACCCGTGCACATACCCCTTACGGTCAGGACGTTACCCTGTGCTCTGCCTCATATTCCAACCAACTCATCACATTCTCAGTCGCTCTTCTGCTTTGTTTCTCTTGACAATATCTTCCACTACAATCTCTGTAATTCCTAAATTAGCATCCTGAGGGATGCTGCATGACTGTCACTTGCCTCATTACTGCTTCATTGTCTGTCTTCATGAGCATCTGCAATCTTGTCCTCTTGCAGTCTCTGAGATTCTCTTGTGTTTTTAATGTATACCCTTATTTATCTGTGGCACATCCTCAGCAACCAGTACCTTGTTCTAAGCCAGGTTTTCTGGTGCCAGCTCAGCTAAATATTGCAGACATTTGCATAGGAACCATTAAATGCTGCTTTCTGTGCTCTCCATAGAACTTACAGTGAATCATAGAATGCTTAAGGTTGGAAGGGACCTTTAAAGGTCATCTAGTCCAACCCCCCTGCACAAACAGGGTCACCTAGAGCACGTGGCACAGAACTGCGCCCAGGTGGGTTTTGAAGATCTCCAGAGAAGGAGACTCCACAACCTCTCCGGGCAGCCTGTTCCAGTGCTCTGTCACCCTCACTGTTAAAAAATTTTTCCTTAAGTTCATGTGGAACTTTTGGTGCTTCAGTTTGTGGCCATTACCTCTAGTTCTGTCGGTGGCCACCACTGAAAAGAGGCCAGAACCATCCTCCTCACTCCCTCCCTTGAGGTACTTATGAGTTTACTTATGAGGTTACTCTATATGGCCTGTGTGGAGTCTCTAAATTTACAACTCCTGTAGGAGATGGAGTTGGGTGCAACTCCTGCTACGTAACATATTTGAATGTTTTGGACACGGATAGTATTAAAGAAACCAGATGTCTATTAATTTTTGTCCTAGCATGATAGCTATTCTTGTGGAGAATATCATTGTAAACATCTTGAGTGACGCACCAATTTCTAATGAAACTGTGTGAATTAATCTTTTTACTTTAATAAAGCCAAGTTGATGTTGGAACTTCATGTTGTTTAACGTTTAATCCCTTTGCAAGACAGGGACAGTGTTTGAATGATGTGTATTTTTAATAAGTTTGAAATATTTTAGCAATGAGAAGTTGTTTAAACCAACTGACTTGATTGTGTTGTTTTTCACTTTTTCAGGCTATATAAGGAAAAACTGAGAGAGTATCAATTCAAGCGACTGAAATATTTCTATGCAGTGGTAGAATGTGATTCTCCTGAAACGGCCAATAAAATTTATGAGGAATGTGATGGATTGGAATTTGAAAGTAGCTGTTCTTTTTTAGACCTGAGGTAAATCTAATGGTGACTTACTAAATTCATCTGGGAAGGGGAAGATTAAAGCCAATTTTAAATAATTTGAAATAAACTATATTGTCTTTATTCTGTAACCAAAATTTTATTTGTGATATAAATTATGTATGCAATGGATTGGCAGAATTTCCTTTGGGTTTCTTTTTTTTATTTTTTGAGCATTTCTGTTCAATGGAGCAAATGGAAAGTTTGAGAGAGGATCACTCCTCTCTCATTTTACTTCCAGGTAAAATGTTATGGTTGCATCTTCAATCCATTGCAACAGTTGAGGGAAGATGTAGGATGCATATTTAGGAAGCAAGACAACATATTCCTCCTCTTTTCCTCAGCTTAGAGTTCAGAGTTAAGTGTCTCTTTCAGGATTGTTTACCACAGGAAAAGTAAGAGGACAGAAGACAGGTTACTAAATCATGCTACGTTTTGACAGAGGCTGTCTGAGGGCTCATATTATGGGTCCTTGCAGAGAAATATAAGATTTGCTCTGAATCATTCTCTGGAGCTTAATTCATCTGCTTTGAATCACTTTGGAGAAGACTATCCCTGCCAAATGGACATTTAACTTCTCTGTGATTGTTAATATAGCTTTCATGCCTCTAGATATAGAAAGATAAAAGTTTACAACAGTGGCAGCTGTTCGAAATTTCCCAAAGTTCTTCTTAATCTTTCACCTACTGTGTTAAATTTTAATGTAAAAAAAAAAAAGGCAAGGGGAGTAATTTTGCATGTAGCACACAAACATGAATTTTTAAAATCTGATTTCTTCTTGTGTTACAAAAGACTTTGCCTTTTTATTATTATTTTTTTAAATAATTGTAGTGCTAAAAGATGTACCAGCTTTTCTTAAAATGTTTAGAATTTTTGTTTTATGTGCCTTCAGGTGTTATTTAATCCTTTTTTTTTTCTCGTGAAATTTAATTTTAAGCTTCCTGAAAAGGTGATTCTTAACAACAACAACAAAAATTACACAAAAACAATAACAACAAAAACAAAACTGTGGCCCTTTCAATGAAAACAATTTAGCTTTCTCCTCCAACATAGTGGTGTGATATGTAAAACACCTGCAGAATAGCTGTGCAGGCAATTAATCTTACGTGTTTGGTACTTAGGATTTTTATTCAAGACAAACTGACAAACTTTTAATTTTAGCAGATTTTTTTATGCGTTGATGTACAAAGGTTGTAAAAAGCTGAGACTGTTTATTCCTTTGAAATTTCACAGTGTATTTGAATGACGTGTTTTGTATGCCTATAAGATTTATTCCAGATAATGTTACATTTGATGATAAGCCAAAAGATGTAGCCTCAGAAGTGAATGTAGCTGCATATAAACCAAAGTACTTTACATCTGCTGGAATGGTAACATCAAAGGTATCTTTACAGTGTTTTTGTATGCTTTTCTGATTTGTGTAGTTTTATTGTTAAATTGTGTAAGTAGTAGAGAAAAGATTACTGCTTGTACTCTCCATTTTACAATGAAGACATCAAACATATTATGAAATGTGAGCGTGTTCTGGAGTCAGAAGTTGCGATGTTATAGATAAGCTTGAGTTTGGGATTTTAAGAGTTTTGGCTTATCCGTTAAAATTAAATTATTATGACCTATTATACCTTGCTTAGAAGTTATGTGTTGAATTACCATTAATGCTTATTTGGATGTAATTCAAGAAGAGCCTTTTGGTGACAGTGTCAGGGTTAAAGCAGTTGCTTCTCTCCTCCTTGTAGCTATTTGTTCTTGCTCTGTCTTTTGTGACAACCAAAATATTCATTCACTTAATGCATGAAGTGAGCTAAACTGAAGGAGTGATTATTTGAGAAATAAGTAATTTCTGCTGGATCATCTTTTCAGACAGATCTGTTTCATCTTCCAATTGATGATGAAGTTGGGCAAATGCTTTCATTGTACCCTTTGGAAATGATTCTTGGTTTCAGGAATGGCTTACTGCTGGAGGAGGAGGAGGAGGAGAGATTTGTTATTGGCTGCTGCCTCAACTTACCAGTACTACCTGATTTTTAGTAAATTACTATGTTATAGCTAAAAGACCTTGTAGGAAAGATCTTTAATAGGTTAAAACTGCTTCCTATATGGAATATGTAGAACAATTTTCTCTAAAAACAGACTTAGTGATGTATTCTGGTGTTTCAACTTCTGCAACTGGCATTCTTCTTACTTTTAAGATAGACATCACATGGGATGAGACAGATCATGAAAGAGTAACATCACTTAGCAGAACTTTTAACAAAGAGGAGCTTCTTGACATGGATTTTCAAGCTTACTTAGCTTCATCCAGTGAAGAAGAAGAAGAACAAGAGCAAGGTACTTATGACTTTATGGACAATGTTTATTAAGCTTAGTTATAGTATTTTGACATGATTTTTTTTGGTACATAAATTCTTTATCTTTAGAAAGTGCTTTAAACATGTCATCTTTTACAGGGACAGTGTTAAGCTCCTGATTTAAAAAAAAAAATCCTTAAGTTCTAATATGTAGATACCTTTCCTCTACTTCTGTGTGGGTTCCATTTAAAGGAGGAGGGAAGTTGGTGGTGAGAGCTTTGGTGTTTCGTTAACCCTTTGCAAATGAGGAAATTAATGAATTGATGATGAGATAATTTTTGATAATTTCACTATCACTGATGGACAAGGAATTATTGTAGTTATTGAGACCCTAAATGTCTGCCTTCTGGATCTCTGGGTGTCTCTCTGAAGTGTCTGAAGGGTAAGGAGGTCCTGAACGAGTTGCCCAGAGACTGTGCTGGGTGGCCTAGGGAGGGCATTTAATTTGTTCCAGACCTTGGAAGGTCCTGAGGGAAGTGGAGCTTCCACACTCCAACAATTGCTCTTTGTGGAGTATCGGAGGAGTGTGAGAACAGTGGAAGAAAGGCTGTGCTCTGACTAGTACTGCCTTCTAGTACTCTTAAAGGATAGACTTTTATATGCTGAGAGGAAAGGCAAGTAGCAGAACTTGTTTACAGGAATCTTAGAGAGTGTTAGAGAGTAGTAGTATCTTTCAAGTGGGTTTTGGTTCTCACAGCTTCTTGAGAATATAAAAAGAATGTCATCTATAGCTTCGTAAACTACTTAAGTCATTGGGGTATGATGTGCTAACATAGGAACTTATAAATTCCTGAATTTCCTTGTTTGTTTTTGCTGTAAAACTCAGTATCCTCTTATTAGGTGATACGTGTAGCCTAAAATAGAAGGAAAAGAAAATGTCACTAAGCCTTAATCAGGTCTTTCAAAGATATGTGAAATCTGATTTATACTGCATTATAGCAGGGTATTGTGTTCAGAGATGAATTTGGAGCATACAGGAAAGCCTTAAAGACTTCTGGTTGTAGATTTGGGAAATCTTCTGGCTACAAATTGCTTGGCAATACCTTGCCAGGCCTTAGGTCCATTTGTTTCTCATCTTCATATACACTCATTGATAATGTCCACCTCTGAATTTTATTTTCACAAGTAATGCTTTATCAAGCATTTATCAACCTTAAGGAGAGCAGAAGTTGCAGAGGAAACTGTTTCAGTTTTCTTAATACCTACAAGACTACAGCTATGCTAGAAGAACGGCATCTGTAATGGAGTGCTGATGAAAGTGGATGCCTAGAATAAGGGAGGATTGTTTTGGGAATTTTAGAAAGAAAACCTTGCTAGAAAGGAAGAGAAAGTTGACATTAAGATATCCTCACACACCAGTGAATCTAAAACCTGGTAATGTCTGGCTTTCAATGATGTTTTGAAAAGTTATTCATAGAGGAGTTATGTTGCTGTGTCTTTTAAAGTGTTCCTGATGTTTTATCCATTGAGTTATGTGATATGACAGGATCGCATCCAACAGAATTATGTGGCACTAAGCACAAATGGGGAAAATGAATTTCAGCTGTTTGAATGGAAATGTAAGAGTGCGATAAGAAGGAAAGAATGTTCTGGACCTTTTTTTTATCCCTTTTATTAAAAATGTTTTATTTATAAGCAGGTTTTGGTTGCTTTGTTCTAGCTTTTTGTGTGTGTGTGTGTGTGATCTTTTTCAAGCTAAAAATGTCTGCCATGACAATTAGTTATTAGACCTACTCTGCTATGGTTCAAGCCACAAAGCATCTCCTTTACATTGCTTCTGGATTTTCTGTCGGACATATTTGTTCCAATTAGTAAGCCTTTCTGCTGGCATTAAAATCTACCCCATAATGGTTCTTCTGACCATGAACAACGAGTGACTCATTTTATGGCCTTTTAAAGGATGCTTCAAATCAAGCATTCCAAATGCCTAAGCTTGTATTCTACTTTTTATCTTTCCAAAATGAAGATCTTTTCCACTGTTCTACTTTACACTGGCACCTAGAATAACTGAAAGACCAGTTAGACTATATGAGAAAATACTTTTATGGGTGTATTTTTAACTAGTCGTTCCTGTAGAGGGAATATGTGTAGTGAATTACAGAAATAGGTAATTATGTGGGGAATTCTGTGTAGAGAAGTGTTCCCCACAGCAGGAGCTTGGGCAGGTAGCGTAGTCCCTTGTCGTACTGGGGCTGTCGTACAACCCTTTGCAAAGGCAATAGATCTAACATTAAATAACATCAAACCTCAGATTACATCTTCTGTAATTTTGAGATATTTATCTCAATAGCTGTCACTAAGTATATAAATTTAACTCCATCTTTAATTTTATCATGTACCAATACAATCCACCTTGCTTTTTAAGAATGAACAGGGAAGAAGTATATATTACCTATTTATTTGCTAGAACTATTGCAGGAGGACAAATAATGGAAGATGATAGAAGTAGAACATAAAATTAATATTGCCCTTAAATGAAATATATATTTTTAAAATGCATTACATTGGATTTTATTGATGTTTGCTTGTCTCCCTTAACCTTGTGTAACTGCTTTCGCAATTCTTTTGTGATAAAGATCTGACTTGAAGATGCTTCTTTTGGATTAGTTTTAGCTTATTGCTAGAATATGTCCTACAGAAATATTAGTTATTACTAGGAGAAGTTAAACCGTTTATAGATTAGCTGAGCCTTGGTGGAATTTCATGGGACAAAGCAGAAGTGCTATGACCTGATTATATCTGTGGAGCTACAGAAGTTTCGTGAAGCTGATGCAGGTTTGGTGAGGCTGATGAGGTTTTCCAAAACGTGTTTGCAGGAGCCTCTATAACAAAATGTGTTTGGAAGGCTGGCAGCAAGGGTCATCCCAGCTTTTTTAATAAGTTCACACAAGGCGTTGAAGGTGTCCAGTAAGTTAGAACGGAAGGAGACGTCTGTGTGTGCATTTGTGCCCCTACTCTGAAGGGACCAGCCTGGAGGCAGCGTGGATTGAAGGGATGAAGGGGTTTGACTGACGTCTGGCTGGCCCGGAAAGGTGGCCCAGGAAGCCCGGCCACCCCTGCGCGGCCGAGGCCTGAGGGCTGCGGCAGCTACGGTCACCTCGTTTGCAAAGTGCCCGAAAACAGTCACACTACCCCGTCCTAAGGCAAAGACAAAAGCTAAAAGAGGCGAGCTGTAGCCATTCATCTCCTGTTACCTGTTTCTGGAAAGTAGTTCTGCTTTTTCTTTCACTATCTGTCTTCCACTTAAAAAATATTTTGCTGGAAGATATCTACCACTACAGGCATGAAATGTCATTATTTTAATTGCCCCGAGTTCTAAATACTTATCCTTCTGATGAACCACTGGGATACATGTAGCTTCCTCTTTGGAGTGTTCTAGCAGTGTGGGAAACTAGGTTTATTATTCTTCATTTTTCATGTTTTCCTCACTCAAAGTTCAGGTCAACCCATTTATTTTTTGTATCCTGCTGTAGGACAATGCAGTACCCTCATTATCTCGTACTTGCTCCTGCAATTTTGGAGTGTCGAGCGCTTTATTCTCTGCTCACCCGTGTGTGTTGTAGTGATGAATTTAAATAACTATGCTGGATAGAATTGAGATCGTTAGTGCGTTTTTATGTTATGGCCATCAGTTTTCAGATCAATAGCTGAACTTTCTGGTTCAGCTGAACTATCATGACGGAGGATTTTTTTTCTTTGTCATCAGTGTAAGCTCAGCTTTGCAGAGATTTGTTGTCGAATGTGTGTATTATTTCTCTACTGTCTTTTAGTCTCTAAGTTTAAGCAAAGGGAAAAAATAATTATTTACTCAGCCACTGCTCATATTTCTTTTTTAAACTAAGAATATGATATCTTCCAAGTGTATTGTGACTACAAGAACATGACCACAATTTAACCGACACTGCTGTCGATCAGCAATTTTAGTTTACAGAGCTTATGCATCTTTGTGACTATACAGGTCGGTAACTTTTTTGAATTCATTTTTTTTTTAGGAAAAAAATATAAACACACACCATCATATTGAAAAATTTCTGGCATGTTTCAGGAGTTATTCAACTCCTTTTTTATTTTTATTTATTTTCCGCCCTTTATTTTTCTAGTGATGTTAACATTTATGTTACTAATCTTTAAAAATAAAGAATGTGCTTGTATTTTCAAGCTACGTTTCAGCTGCTCGTGCATTTTTCCTTCACGCGTTAAGCTCATTTTCTCTTAACCATATTTCTTTTACAATGCAACTGTTAATGCACCAGAATTGTTTTAGACTAAGAAGTCTTTGAACAGGCCGCTGGCAGAGGAAGACTTCCTTAATATCCATCAGAAAGTGTTTCCTCATGTTGTGCATTACAGTATGATACTTGAAAGCTAGCAACAAGATTATTTGAAGTCTGAACAAACTTTGAGAACATATTCAGCTTTCTTCTTTCCCACAGCTGTTGTCAAGTGTTCTTTATTTGCTTATAGAATGAAAAGACTTTTATGGATTTTTTTTTTTAGAGGTGATATTTGAATGTTTCTGAAACTGTTATTTTTGACAAAAGAAAGATACGTAGGTTTTTGTTCTTTTTCTTTTTTAATTAGAAAGTAAGACAATATGCATGATTAATTTTCTTAAGAAAAAATGCTTTTATTGAGGGGTATACTGAACTGCTAAGTTTGTAATCTTTGTATTATTTCTTAACTGACATGAAGTACTGAAAGAAAACTTACTTATTCATTAGTGAGTCTCCTGACAAACAACCATGAATACATGTCAGTAACCCCTTCCTTACCCAGTTTCATGGGAGCTCACGGCCAGCACCCTCCACAATCGTGTGGAGAGAGAGCGAAAGAGGAAAAAAAATAAAAAAGAGAAAAAAACTCATTCCATCTTGCTTCATTTGTTAATATGGCCCATCACTGAATGAAAAGGGAGTAATATTACCTGTCTTTTCTTGTAACAGAACATTGCAAGCTTTGTTAAAATACAGTGCTTGGTGTTTTCGAAAAGATCTAAAGAACTATTTTTTGAGACTTGGGTACTATTCCACTGGAAGGGAGTCTTAGACTAATCATGTGAAAATATGAAGTCCTATCCATGATATCCTTTTGTACTTGTTCCTTTGGGAACTTCTAAATTTCATCTGTTAAATGTGAGAATTCTAAAATTGGTTCCTTTTCTTTTCCCTGAAAATTATAGATGAAAATATTTTAAATATGTTGTTGGTAAATAATTTATGTGACTTATATGCTATTAACTTCGAATCATCATTGTGTGGAGGTTGTCTGTGACAACTTTTTTTTTCTTTTTTTTTAAGGTAGTGATGTAGCTCATGAAACAGAAAGTGACAAACCCAAGAAAAGCCAAAAAGATGATGAAGAACAAATTGCCAAGTACAGGGAACTTCTAAAAAGTATCCAAGAAAAGGAGAAAAAACAGGAAGATGATGATATAGAAATGGAAGTTAAATGGGTTCCAGGTAAGCCTTATTTTTTTTGTTGGGGGATATGCAGTACTGGCCTTCTAATATGAATATAACACAAGGTGTAGGATTTATAGTAGTAGAAGCTGACCCCATAAATTGAAATCCGGAAAAACAAAGAAATAACATGATTAAGCTCGGTTCCTCAACGGTATATTTGCTTTCTATACTTATTTTTTGTCAGTCTTTCTTCTGGTTGTATTTTCATTCATCAATTTATGGAGTTTTTTTTTTTTTAATACAACTCGTGTTTTCCATAAAATCATAGAACAGAGGGCACCTCTACACTTTTTAAAAGGAAAAACATTATGATTTGGAAACAAGGTATTATTAGAGGAGAACTGCTTTAAAATATTGCTGGCTTAATGCTGAAGTCTTGGGGAAAAGAAAAGGGAAATGAAGTCCTCTAATGAGGATGTGTGAATGAAAGATATGGAAAGAAAATCTTTGGGGGCATATTTTGTTCTATTTAGCGACATCCAGATTTTCATCTGGAAATCAAACAGCAAACATATAGCATCCCAGCAGGATTCACCCAGAGATCTGAGAAACAATGTCTGTTTTTCTCTTCATAAATAAAAGATATCCAGACTGATTTTTACCCTTTGTTTATGAGTGTGTGCTTTCCCAGGGATGTAATGCACAGTTTTAAAACTTGCTACATCCAAAAAGAGAAGGGTTTCCCTGTGGTCTCTCTTCCTTGATGCTGACTGCCTGTAGCAGCCCTGGTACCTGGTAGATCCCTTTGAAAGTTAATTTCTCTTGCTAAAATGGAGACCTACCTTTGAAAAGAAGAAAACACCTGGATCTTTTCCTGTTGACGTAGGCAGCCAGGTAGGTTCCTAGCAGTGTATGGTGAATGCTCAGGGGTTGAATTATGAACCAAGAGAGCACTGCCCTCTGGGCTGTGCTGTACTGGCTCTCTATGTATGGAACTGCAGCCTTTGCAAGGACACAGCCCGATGTGCAGAGCAGCCCTGCTTACAGAAAACAGTCCAACCAGAACCATGCAACTAGAACCCACTTGCTTGCCCATAGACGTCTTAATTCTACCTGGCAATGCATATCTAATTATCTGATTTACACTAGTATTGTTCTCTGCTTACTCTGGTCTGTGTTAAGTTCATTTCAGTCAAATGAATTAATTTTATTCCTAGGTTTTGATAAGATCTATATCTGAAAGTATGCCATGGCATTAAAATCACTGTGAATTTTCACTTGTGCTTATTTAAGCCCAGTCGCTTCTGACATGAATTCTCCCAAAACTTTAGGGGTAAATATATATTGTGTTATCTGATGAGTGCTTACTTTTGAGTGCTTATAGCAGTATCATCGTGTTTTGCTCCTGCTCTCCACAGTGTGTCAGTATTTGCATTCTTGAAGTTCCTTTTTTAATGTGCTTTAATTCATTGCGTCACTGAGCATTAATGGCAGATGAGTTTTCATACATAGGTAGCCACGATTAGATTTTTACAAAGATTTGTTGTTGCCTCCTTTCAGACCAAAGCTGGAGGCCATGGTAGTAGCACCAAAGTGGTGACCTTAGGAAGGTGTCCTGAATTTATTTATATAAAGTAGATAGGCCAAACATTCTTTAAGCTGTTAGAAAAGGTGACATTTTTGTTTTAAAACTTGTTTTAAAATATGTTAGAGGCTCTTTTCTTTATTATAAAGTCTGTCCTCCCATGCCAGAAAGCATCTTGTAAGTTGTATGAATGAAGTTCTGTAAATTAAAAAGTCAAAGCAACCTGATGTGGTGACATAGTTAAGCATCTAGAGCTAACCGTTCACAGCAGGGAATGCAAAATGGTTTTAAGTGTGACTGAAGCAAACTTAGAAGCACAAGGAGAGTGAGAACTTTCCTGAAGGATCTTGGATCTTAAAAGTTAATGTAGTACAGGTAAACTATTGATACATTCACACCTTCCTTGAGAAGGGGCAGAGAGGAGTTTATGCACTGAACACCCCTTGTCCTTCTTGTCAGTCCAACAGGGCTGGTGCTAGCTCCGTCCTGAATGACTGGCTTTGCCAGAGAGTCAGTGGAATATCTGTGTTATTTCTGCTCGTTCACATAGCCACGTGTTGCATTTGCAAATGTGCCCTGTCAAGTTTAGCTTGCTAGTTTTGTAGCATTTGATGTCAGATTTGCAATGGTGGTTTTGTAGTATATGTTAGTGTTTCCTAATTCCTTCCTTCGTTCCCAAATTAGGGTATTATCACAGATTATCAGAGGCATGGGAGACTGTAGAAATGTTTGCTTGCCCCTGCTAGTTAAACCTGCAAGAGGTGGGTCAGTACCACTGATCACTGTCAGCCCCTGCAGTGCAGCCCGTAGTACTATAGGGATAGATAAAGGATATATGCAGAGATGCACCCCCTGCCTCCGTATGTTAGTAGAAGAAAAGCATCCGTGCTTTGGAGACATGAGTTTGGTTTGTGGTGGGGTTACTCCCGTCCAACTTGCCTGCCCTGCCTCCTGCTTCTTGTCTCTGCCCGTGTAAATCCACTTTCAGATTCTGGCTCCTATTCTGCCGCCTTCATCCTTGTAACGAATCGGATTGGCCTCCTTCCAAAAGAAGTGCTACAAGTGCAGAGGACTTGGCTCCGTGTTTCCCCCTCTAATGTCTGGCAGTGCTTTGGCCTTCGCTGATTTCAGGTAGCACCTGGAGAGCAGGTCTGGGCACCCAGAAGGGAAGGGTTTGAGGGGAGCTCTTAGGGTAATCGGCACTTGCTGAACAGTAGCTTTCAGCTCTGGCAGTTTATGTAGTTGAGGTTATGCCTCCTTCTCAGAGGAGAAGTGCATTAGTTATTACATTATTTTTCCTTAAACAAATGTGCTCATTTAAATTCCAAAGCGATTTAATTATATTCTGCTTGGAGCATTTTGTTATAATCTGTTAAGACTCCTTAACTTTTTCAGTATTAGTTTTGGTTTGTTAAAGTTTGGGGGGGGTTGTTTGTTTGTATTTTATCAAGCTATGCCTTAATCTACTGCACTTATTGCAAAATCGTTTTCCTGCTCCCGTGTTTAATATAAAGAGAATTGCAATAGTTAAATCTAGGAAGTTTTTCAATCAAAAGTCAGAGATTTGAGTTAATTAAAAAATTTGAGTTTTGGCACAAATATTTACATATGGTTATAGAAAGCATACTTTGTGAATGATTCAGTTATTCTTGAATCATAATAGTTTTAAATAAACCTCAGTGCCAGCAAAAATAAATTAGATGTAGTTCCAACTCTCCATGGTCTGTTTCTTTCGGGCGCAAAATCAGTGTTATATTTAAGCATCCATCTGTTTTCTTCATCATATCTGGTTTGAGCGACAATTACTATCCATCCTTATCCATCTCCCAATGCTCCTTTAGAAGGTGAAGAGGGAGAAGACCGCAATTGAATCTGTTGATTATATTCAGCCCATTTTTTTCCTACAGTTTTTCTTACTGAACTTGAAAATGAATCCTTTGGGAAGAACAAGAGCTAAATATTGAGCTAGGCATAAAGGAAACTTCAGCATTTGTTTTGCTCCAAAGGAGAAGAGCAGGCGGTCGTCTCCCCGTAAAGCACATCACGAGCCCCGACCGCGCGTTGCTGTCGAACATACGGGGCAGGGAAACACTCGTGTGGAGCAGAGGCTCCATCTGACCTCAGCACGCGGCTCTTTATTTTTGTGTTCCTTTATTTTTTGTGACATTTACAAGTTGTTAAACTTGCAGATTTTTTTTCAAAACTAACTGTGCAGAGAGGTAACACTTGTGACCTGCCCTCTCTCCCTGCCTGCTGTCAGCCATGTGTATAGGTTTGTTACAGTGCTATTTATCATGCATTTAATTCTTTAATTCTGCATGCTAATATATACTAGTTTCTCTCTCTTCATGGCCCTTATATGTTAGGATTAAATAGAACTTGTATGATTCATTTGTTTGTACTTTTTTTTTTTTTTTGAGTAGAGATAACAGTACACGTTGAACTTTTCTATGGACAGTTAATAATTCTGCTTAAAGGAGACAATTCCTTTTCCCTTCTGCAATCAAAAGCCTTCTGACCACTTAAGTACACTCTTACTCTCGGGAAGTGGTCTGGATGCTGGTTTCTGAGCCATTCTAATCTGTGGAGAGACTCTAATGCCTTTCATGAGACTGCCAAATACCACAAGAAAGGCTGTGTTTTCCTCCAAGCCCTTCTGTGCCAGATGGATCAAATGATTCCATTTTCCAGGCAAATAAATCAGAAATCTTGTAACCTCCTTTGAGATTTTGGTCTCTCTTTTGCTGTTTTTTTTTTTCCTTCTTTCTGGAGATGTGACATATTTCTTAATCTGGTATTTACTCTCTTCAGAAAAAAATCTGCGAGGTTGTTACCTGACTATTAGTTTTCTTCCACAAAATACTGCAAAACACTATGCAAAGTGATAGCAGTTCTGTTTCTGGGAAGCAGATGAGTGCTGACTTTGGACATGAAGAATTATATTGAATTTATTTGTTCTAGTGATATCAGATGGTTTCTTAGTGAGCAAATTGATTGTGGACCTATACAATCTCCCTCCTTTTCTTTACCACAGTTTTGCATTTGTTTGCTGTTTTACTACCCACTGCTGTTGTGGTAATTGTTGGCAAGGTACTGTTAATTCTGGCTGCTATCGTTTTCTGCTTGTTTCTTTTCTTCGTATCAGGCATGATTTAATACCTTTTTAGATGCTGTCCACACTTCATGTTTCAGACATGTTGTAACCAGCTCTTGAGCCTTTTTTTTTTCCCTTTGGAGTGTAGACAAGCACAACAACAAAAATCAGCATTTGCAGCTTTTCAGAAACCTGTTCTTGCTTTTCTAGGGATGGGCAGAGCCGCCTGCGAGGCTGCCCGCTTTTTTTTCCATTATGAACTCTGTTTCCAGTTCCTTGTTGCTGCTGAGGGTTGGAAGAAACCATGAGGAGCTGGCACTGGCCAAATGAGAAACCTGGGTGCTGGGCAAGAGAATGGGATCTAGTGTGGGACCGCTGGACAGGTCACGCTGTGACTTCTGGGCAGTAAAAGTGGTGCGAGAAAAGGAAGGTGAGGATGTGGTAAGGTGAGAGCTGGAGTAGGATGGTGGGCAAAAGGAGAGACTTTTGGAGTGAGTATAAGGGCAAAGAGGCCAGAAGGGTCAGGTTGTAGGGGAGAACAGAAGCACAATTCATACGTGCTCCAGACTATGTGTATGTCTGTCACATCCTGCAAGAGGCTGTTAACTACAGGATGCCCAGCTCATCTGCTGTAGAAGTGAAACAAGGGTGTGAAGGAAGCAAGGAATGTAGGAAGCAAAAAACAGCTTTGTTGCTCAGCCTGGTACCTTGTTCCAGGGAAGCAGATTCTCCCTTTCTGCCACTGAGTTCTGCTCCAGCAGGTCGCGAGGCAAGTGAGTTAAATTCTTCACATCATCAAGTTTACTTCTTTTTGAGTACCCTTTAGTACCTCTTCTCTAATGTGGAGAAGGGCTGAGGGTGTACATAGGCTGCATATGCACATCAATGTACATATGTACATGTACTTTCAAATGCATTCCTGAAACGTGTGGAGTTTTTCACCCAAAATGAAAAATACTTTAAAATTCAGTGTTTGTTCTGGATTTACCTATTCTATCTGTAAAATGGCGATACTCCACTTTAATGGATTTTTTAAAGGTTTTTCCACCACTGAATACTGTAATATTAGGTATATGTTATAGGAAGCTCTGTCCTCTTTCTGGAGGAGGGTTTAAATTATTGGCTATAAATTGAGCAATGACACAAAAACATATAAAATAGCTACATGTTAGTTATCATGTATGTATTCAATAGAGTTAAGGTCCTCTGGAAAATGTTGAGATGAAAAGCTGTGATCAGAATTCATATTCACAAGGGGGTTAAAGATTAGCGCATACTTGTGCAGCTTCAAGTGGTAGGTTTTAGAACAGTGTCAGTCTTTGTTAACTTACGGAGTTTAATATAAATCTAACATATTCAAAACTTACTATTTGATCCCGTTGAGCTAGAGTTGTTTAGAGACAGTGTATTGCAATTCTGTGGCATAGGCTTTGCTCGGATCAGGTCAAAAAGTGCAAACTTGAGGGCTCCTCAAGTACCTGTAACCAAAGTACCTGGTTACAGGTACCTGGGTACCTGTAACCAAAGGACACCAAAGATCTAAATTCATGATCTGAATGGCTACAAATTCTTGTAGATCTGGAGAGAGACTGGTGCTCTTCTCTTGTGATCTTTTCAGATCACTTAGTGTGGCTAAAAATGTGAGAGGAATGTTTTTCTCTTGCTTCATCTTTTTCTCTTTGGAGTCATTTCAATTTGAATTGGTAAGCAGTGATAACAGAATACAGTCTTTTATACACTATCTGTGTTTTTGGCTACTTTGAGAGATTGATCTATTTCAAGCAATTTGTGTCCTTAATCTCTTCTTGTGTATGAACCCTTTAGGAAAAATATATATATGTATATTTACTTTGAAAGTATTGAATCCAGGGTTCCTGTCTTACCAGGAATGTGCTGTTTCTTATGTTAAAGCTAGATCTCTGTCTCTACACTAATAAGATACTAAATAGTTTTAAACTAGCAACTTAACAGGAAAGCAGATGTTGTTAAGCAAAGGCGCTTAGTTGTTAGGTAGATTGGTATGCATGCACGGTACTTGTTCGGTATTTAAGAGTATTACAAATATTTTAAGGTTAAAAGAATAGCTATGCATGTTCTTGTGGCTTAAAAAGCATTCTGTTGTACATCTGTTTATGTATGTATTCTAGAAAATGTAAGCATATATACTGGAAATTTAGGTAATATACTAGAAGAACAATGCTATTTTTTTGCTTTAACAGAGTGTAATTTTCTGATCCCAATAGTTTGCGTAAAAAAATACAACCCAAATCTAGAAAGCCTGTGGATTAGCATTTTCATATGCTTTCCTCTTCTCCTGTATCATTTAAAATTAAAGTCGAAACACAGAATTTCATACTTCCTTTTACCAGGGGTTGTAGCAGAATTTAAAGACTGGCTGACTTGGAAATAGCTTACCCAGTGTGACCTAATACACACCATGTTCTGGCAGCAGTGCATAGTGCAAGAAATTCTTTGGTTTATATTTTGGGTTCCTCTGGACTTTTTAGCTGCAACTTTATTTTGACTTTAATTTTTCCAAAATGATAGCTTCTTGTTCCCTTTTCCAGTAAAGCATGAAGGTACGCTAGTGGTCAGAGATGCTGCATCATTCCCACAGAGGCAACGTTTCAGTCAAGAAGATGCGATATAGCAACTTTTATTGCCTCCGTGAGGCATATTGATATGGTGACAACCAGACAGCAACTCGTTGTAAAGCACGAGTTTTACAACTCCAAGCAGCAGCGTTGGTTGCAGGCAAAAGCCAGTCGCTGGCAGATGGTCGTATGCTCTGGTCATGGTTTATCTTTTTCAGAATTTTTGCCAACTTACTAAATATTTTTTACTCTTTTTTTTTTTTCTCTCTGACCAAAAAAATGGGAATGAATACACTGTACACAAAGTGGTTTTATGAACTTTAACTAATTGTAGTCAGGTACATTAAATTTAAGAGTGGCTGTCTATGTATTATGGTGATACTCTTAAACTTTAACAAGTGGCATCTATAGACTGTACGCTAATGACGGCAGAGAAACAACAGGAGTATTGGAAATTGAACACTACATGCTTATGTAAGAGTAAGTCCCTCTGACTCTTGTACAGCTTATTGCTGCATAATTGTTTTATTTGAAAAAAATACATCCTTGTAGACTGATAATATTTGTAATGATGCTGCTCTAAGCAATGCTCATAAAGTTTTATAATGTTTAAGAAAAAAAATGTTCTTTTAGAAAGGAATTGATATATATTAAAAAGGAAGTTAGACTTATCTCATTTCCTTTAATCTACTATTTTTTGATACAGGCCTTAAAGAAACTGCTGAAGAAATGGTCAAAAACCGGTTGGAAGGAAAGGACAACCTCACTCCATGGCAAAAATATTTAGAGAAGAAGAAAGAAAAACGAAATCTTAAAAAAAAAAGAAAGGTAATCTTTGCATTGGTTACTTTTTTTCAGCATAGTGGTAATTTATTCGGAAAGACTTGAGTGTTCCGTATCAAACCTACACAGTTAAAGGATGTTCAGGGTTATACTGGCCATACCTAATCTGCTTGCAGTGATGTTCATCTGTCCATTTTTGACTTGTATAACTTTCAAGATAAATGAGTCTAGTTAAAACCCAACTGTTCTGATATAATTTGAATACTTTAGGAAGTGCCCTTTTGCTCACTAGTGCAAAGTTATCATTAGAGCAATAGTTGTGGTTTGGGATTTTTTTTGGTCTAAAATGCTAGTGACTTTAATCTCCCAAAACAGTATCAACAAAAAAATTACCAGGCCTGAAGAACTCTTCAAATTTTAAATCACAAAAGAAAATTAATACATAATTCTGTGTAGGAATGACAAAATGGTCCTGTAGCAGTGTGAGAATTACTGTTGCTTTTCCTTTTTACACCCAGAGTTCAGTAAATGGGCTGACTCCTGTGGTGCTAATGTGCAGAAATAGGCTGAGTAACAAAACCTTACTGCAGTTGCTAACGTAACTCAAATTCTTAAATTGCTCTTATAAACGTTATTCTGTAACATGAATTGGATTCAGAATAATTCTTACAATTTGAGGTACACTGTTCATTCCAGTCCATTTTAAATGACATCTAGTCAATAACTTTAAATCCAGGTTCATGTTTTTTGAATTTCAGAGCATAAAGTGAGGCTACTTAGTCAAGTTTTTCCCTAACAGAGTTTTTGTGGAATATAAAATGCTGTGTCAGACTTGTCGTTTCTGTGACTGTCTCAATCACAAACCTTGTATGGGAAGGAGCAGGGTACCAGAGTGGCTGGTGACTTCCTGAGCTGGAAGCAGTGCCGTTTTTAGAATGCTGTGTAAAAAACAGGTAAAAATTTTGTATGCAGAGCTGTATTCTATGCTTTGATTTTTACCACTGAAGTTTGAAAACTGCCTCTTGTGAAGCAGCAAGGATTTCTCCTTGAATATACACCATAAACTTAGTATATGGCACACGTGGATTGAATCCAATCCTGTGCCTTGTTGATGGAGTTAGATGGCACATTTTAGAGTCCACAAATACATCTATTAAAGATTCTTTGAATATGTAAATTGCCCTTCTTTGAGTACATAAAAATCTTTATAGTTCAGTCTTCCAAAGCAAACTTGAAATTTTTGATGTTTTTACTTGCTGTTTTTAGTGTATTCTAGTTTTATAAAGTTCAGCATACAGTGTTTCTGAATTCATGATCACTAATTGATTAATTTCAGTGAAACTTATGTAATAATTTATATGTCGACTGACATATTGTTTATGCTTTGTAACAGACTACTGCTGAGAGCAAATTGAGTGGAGATGAACTTCCACCTGATGTAGACCTCAGTGACCCATACTTTGCTGAAGAGCTTGGGAAAACAGGTAGGTCAAGACAGGTACATTTTTTGAAGTAAAGATGCCTTTTCTTTAAATAATGAGCTTTAGAAATGAAGTCAGGCTAGGATAAATGCAGATATGGCATGTTCAAAATGATACAGAGTAGATGCCATTTGCCTGTAGTTGCAGGCAGTAATGATGCATATTGTATTGCGTGGATTGATGGGGAAAATATTTCTCCTAGCTTTCGTCACAGACCATCATTTAGTCAGCTTCTGGGGATGTCTGTTACCAAGAAGGTAGCCATCTAACCCCAAAACATTTCAGAGAAAAAGAACTTTATTGCCTTGGAAGCTTGTTTCCTTTATATATGTGAGAAACCACATCTATATTGGCCTCTGAAGTTTGGGTCACTTAGCAAATGTTTTTGCATCATATATGAAACTAGTTTTTAGTAGCTGTCTAGGAGTGTAGGTGGGCAGGATAATGGCAAAGAGAAAGATGATCTGGGAAGTAACCATAGCTGAGAAGAAAAGCAAATACCTCCTCCCTAGAGATTAAAAAAAAAAAAAAAAAAACTTAAAATTTTTATTTTGTAATTCCTGGTGAAAATTAAATTTTAAAAAAGATTAGAACTTGATCTTTTTCTAAGCAGAATGTTCTACCATTTAAGTTTCTTCCTGCTTGTTTACTTATGTTTATACATACATGCATTTCTGATAGTGCAGCTGCACTGATCATTTTTCCCCAAGTTTTCTTGCCAAAGAAACTGATTTTGTTTGCTGTTGGTCTGATGCACATTTTTTACTAGTGTAGTCTGGCTACCTAACAACTCTAATGATGAAATAATAACCTTAAAATACATCTGTGATATTTTTTTTTCTTTTTAATTGAAAAGTTTAAATGTTTCCGCACTTTGAAAATATGATTTATTTTTCTCTAAACAGACGTTTAGTGCACGTAGCCTACTTAAATGGAAAACAGAGAACTATTCAAGTTTTCAGAATTATGATGATCTAATACTAAATAGATAGCAGACTTCCTTTATTAATTTCAGCCTAGGAATTTTAGCATGATAATATGAACATCAAGACAATATTACACTATTTTGAAATGTATTATTTTAGGAAATAACTTGTCTGGCTTGGATTTTTAGGATACCCTTTCTGCAAGCTTCTTGGTCCAGCGTTTAAGTTAGCTTTTATTGTGGTAACAGCAAATTTGTTCTGATTAAATCTGATTAAACTTTGGTGGTTAAAGTTTTATAGGGGGGATAATGAGGAAGTGCAAGTTCCTGGCCTTCCATCCTAGTCGGAGCCAAAGCCTAAGAATGACTCATGGAATTGTATATTTTTTAAAAAGTAGCAACAGATTTAGAGATAATCACCACACTATTTTTTTTTTAAATTTATTTTCCCAGGTATAACGGTGTACATTCAAGTTCCATTTTAAAAGAATTCCCTTGGTTGAATTTGAAACCAGCTAGCTGAGGCTTATATCCTGATTCTTCGTATTAGGAGAAAGTAAATAATTCAGGACTTATTTGTGTTGTAATGAGCTTATCTCTATGTCCAAATATTCTTAAGTATAGAACAGTAAGGATGAATCCCTTTCATATTTTAAAGAACTTATCACAATTTAAGGTGTTATGCAATGCAGTGGGTATTTTTTTGCCTCACTTCCTAGCTAGTAGGTGAGTTGTGTATAGGATACTTTGGAGACCATTGGGAAGATGACATTTTGTCGACTGCTTATTTTTGTTAATGTCAAAAATATGTAGGTACTCTTGTAGCAATGTTTGATGTTTCAATGCTGTGTGCAAAATCTCTTAGAAAAAAAGCGTTTTCTTGCATTACATGGAAGTTCGTTGAGCCATGACGGGGCTCAGCACAGAACGATCCTATCTGCAGCCTAATTTTTCTTCCCATAATATGGGGAGTGGAGTTTCAGTGTGCACAGAGCCCTGCCATACGTGGGGGTGGTAAAGCAGGCATAGAGGTTATGCAAGGGAAACTTGTTTGCAGGATTGCTGATGTCCTCCTGAGGAGGAGGAGGAAAGCAGAGCGCGGGGCGCCCTGGCGCAGCTCTAAAGGGAGCGCGCCGGGGCTGGCCGTGAGCCACCTGACATTTCAGCGATGGTTACGCAGCACAACTTTGTCTGGCTTTCACCCGCTTCACCCAGAACAACCTCTGCCTCGTGGCTGGGGTTGCTTTTAAGTGCATTAGCTTATCCAGTGGGGGAAGAGGAGTTATGCTGTTCTTTGAACTAGGCTGTAGCTCTGCCAGCTTTGTATCTAAGGTACATGCGGTAATAACTTGAATGACCATAATTCTTCATAAGCCTTCAACAAGTTCCCTGTAAGATTGAGATTTCCCCCATAAGATGCCTGTCAAATGATCGTAGGTTATTCGGAACCCACGTGTGACAGGACATATTTGCCGGCTCAGGTGGACCAGAACAGCAGCTGTGAGGACACCCAAGTGCCGTTAGGGCTTTGGCGTGGGGATATTTGCTTCCAGGCTAGACTGGGTCCGTGAGAGTTGGTTCTTGACAAGCTGTGGCGATTGGAGCGCAGCTGCGTTGTGAGGAGGTGTTAGACAAGCAGCCTGCTCGAGCAGCAGCGGCATGAGAGAAAAACCTGAAGTCATGAGAAGTCTCCTCGAGCGGGTGTGTGCCAGAGAGCAGTTTCTGAAGCAGGTGGTGCCTCCTGTGAGGTGGGGCGCTGCTCATGCCCACAGAGAGCCCCCGGAGAGGGCACACTCGTGCCACTACTTTCTTTGGACAGGCTTTCATGGGAGCACAGTCCCTAAGCGTTTTCTGAGTAGTGCCATGGATTGAAATGTAAACCGCTGTACGTATACAAGTCTTTAGGCTGTATTTAAGCAGCTTGATCCCAGTTCAGAATTTTCAGGAAAGAATAGCTTTGCCCCTCTTGTTTATATTAACATATATAACTTTTTTTTTTTTTTTTTTTGAAAAGCTGTAAATCTGTAACTTGGCTTGGCAAGTTTCAGTCTTAGTGTGTCTACTCCCTTGGGGCCTCTTAGAGAAGCTCTGTGCAATACAGAATGACTACCTTTTAACTTAAACAGTTGGGAGACTAATAGCAGAGCAGTGCAATTGCCTGTTAAAATGATAGCAGCCTCCTGCTTTTGGGAATTGGTGAATAGCTTTAGAATAGCTACACCTATTAAACGTGGTTTCAGTTAATTCTGCTTTGAAGCAAAGGAATATATTTTCGTACAGACATAAATATTTACTAGTACAAGAGAAGAATATACTTCGTTTAATACTAGTTCGTATTTGAAGCAAGCTACAGCCAAATAATGTATCTTATTGCTAACGGCTGTGTTATTTGAAGAGCTCAGAAGGACTTCCAATAAAGAGACTTTTGGTAACACACTCTGCTATTAACAAGATGTAAAAAGCTTTGGTACAAAGGAAGCTTGCAAACCAAACCGAAATCCCTGAGACGCTGAAAAGAAAAATTCAATTTTGTGGTGATTGTACACCACTATGCAGGAACAATGTTCTCTCTGCAGCTGTCCCATCTTTCAGTTTTGTGTTTTGTGATGGAATTAATAGAGAGATTTTAATGCCAGCTTGAAATCTGATTACCTTGGACACTTTAAGTAATTTACTCATATTATCTCCCTACAGAATAAAGAATGTGCTGAATTTTTGTTAGTAGAGGAGTTTGTCATGAATTTTCTACCAAATGGGAAAAGAGCTTGTAGCAATCAAAAGTGAATTGACTTTTTGCTAGCCAAAAACATTCTTAAGTTTTCCATGGATGGATATATTTTAGATATCTGACTTATTCTTTCAGGACTCATTTTTTGGCATCTGAAGATGAAAGTATTGGTTACATGTCAGCTGAAGTTTATGGAAAAAAATAATAGAAACAAGGCAAAAGAGAATGTGCTTTTTTTGTGAGAGCCATAGGAAATGGAAGGAAATTGGAATTTCATTGCATGCTATAAATATTCTGGATTTTATCATGGTTGGATAACAATTAATGATTTCTGGGCAAAGTGATTAAGAGTAATTTTATGCTTTTGTGTAGCATGGTTTTCAGCCTCTATGATTAAACTGTAAGTGCATTCTGCATAGATGAGCTGTAACTGAGTTTTAAACCAAATTAGAAAATAAATGTAAGAGCCACCGCTTAAATTCAGCAGGCTTCAATTACAAGTCATGCCTTTTTCTTAATATTTTAAAACGGCTTTGAGGATTTTTTTTCTAAATGTCTTTATAATTCTCCAAAGAAAATACATTTCTTCACAAAGATTTTTTTTTTCTGTCCTGCTACTGTTATTACAAATTCCATAAGCTGCAATGCCATTTAGATGCTTTCTCATGATCTAATCTCCTGTAGGTGTAAAAACTAGTAACTTTTTAATGCTGGAAGGTATCAGTATGACTACTGATGGAGACAAAAGGGACTAACAGCAGAACTGGGTTATTGTGTGGAAATTCTAAAGGTCGTGGTTAGCTGCAGGACGGATCCATTTCACAAGGCTTTTGGGGCTGTTTTCAATCCTCTGGATAAGGTAGGTGGGAGACCCTGTGAGAGCAGAGTTTGGATGTGGGCCAGTCTGCATGTGAACTCTCAAAATGATGATTAGTCTTTAGCTGCTAGCACCGGGAGGTTGTCCATGTGCAAAATGAGCGGTTAAACAAAATTGCAGAGCTGAGAAAGGGCTAAGCAGCTTTTTAGGGAGCTCGGAGCAGAGATTGGAAGCCATTCTCGCTGCTTGGTGGCAGCTCTTGCTTCTCCACAGCACTGAGGAGAAGCATCAGCTACAGCAGGGCCAGGCCACACCTGGTTAAAAGGTGGAAGCGGGTTAGGTGCTAGGTAAATACTGCGGCTTTGGCATCAGTTTGAGGAGAGCTCTTACTATGGGTTTTACACTCTGTGTGAAAGGAGGGGGGGAAAAACACATCTTCAGAGTATATATATGGGGAGAGGGAGGGGAGGGGTAAGACTATGTTAAAAAGCAAGAGAAAATGATGCATTTGTCAGTTCTGAATAAAATGCTTGTCAGTAGGATGGAAAAAGGTTTTAGTGTAAAGAGTGATTTCGGCCCCCAAGCTGTTAGCTGCGTAAGGAGCTAGAATAAGAAAGGTTTGCTTGTTTTCATAGAAAATAACTTAGTTTGGTGCTGACCCCTGATTCACTTGCATTTGAAGCAAAACAAGTCCTGCCTTTTAAAGATTAGCTGTCTTCTTTGATTCTACACTTAATGAGAAAAGTGGGAAGACGACTTTCGGACCATCTTTTGAAAGAAGGGAGAAGAGTTTGAGTCACCTTCTAGAATCATTCCCTACTTCACATCCTCATGCCCTGTTTCTTTTTTTTACGAGTTTACCCAATTCCAAGAAGGTAGAAAAGGCTTCAAATTTGTCTTACGTAAATTTGTTTCTCCCTTCTATACATTTAATTAACATCATGTAAGTTAGATAAACAATTATTTTTGACCTTAATTTTTACTTCATGTTTCCTGAAAGCACTAAATTAACAATGTAGTACTTGAGCTGATGCCATTATCCATCTGGATAGCTTGTCTTTTAGTGGCAGTGGTTTCTTTGTTCTAGTCTAGAAATCCATTTGAAGGTTGGAATCTGTTTAGGAATAGTCAAGAGAATAGTCAGGGGAGGAAAAAATGTTCTTTAAAAATGTGTCCTAATCCAGAGTATACATAGTGATATAACTTGACATTTTTGGGGGCATATTTGTATTTCTAGTCTTAAGTACAAATCTGGCCTAATAAAATGAAGCCAAATATCTTCCTTAAGAATACCCTCAGTGGACCATAATGAATTGCCTGGGAATATAATTCCAAGTGCAGAGGTCGGGGTGTGTGGTTCAGGTCAGGAAACTTTCTGCCTTCTCTGTTCCTTCTTGATCTAGGTCTTGATTCGATTGCAAAGGATTTGATTGCAAAGGATGTGTAAGTGGGGCTGTTTTCATTAAAAATTATGACTTCTCTTTTATGCTGTTACTATTCATTACTCTTGTCTAATCCAGTACCTTTAGATATAGGAATGAAAGCAAGCCTTATTAAAAGAATATTCATGCCAAACAGTCAACTACATTTTAATTCCCCTAATTCAGTTCTTGCTTGGCTAACGGCACAATATGGTTTTTTAATCTTGTGTATTGATTTAAAAAACAGTTTTGGTCTCTATTTTACTTTTTAACTGAGGTACTGTGTCATTCAGCTGGCAGATTTCTGTTCTTGATACAAGATTTTCTTTTTGTTCCCCTAAAACATTTATCACATTGCCAATTCTGTACTAAAGCTTAGAGTAGAGCAAGTGAACTGTCTGAAGACTGCAGACACTTTAGTTGCATTTATGAATGTATAAACCAATTTTTCTTTAAAGTACCTTGGGATTAAAGTCAGGCTTGCCTGTACTGACATGATACTTCTGTCTACTGCTTTATGAAAAACACGGTAAAACTTTTTTTTGTCCCTGTTTGCTTTTGTTGACCCCTTTCTGCTATTTGAGCACTGCTGCCTCCTTAAATGGAGAGCAAATATTCAGTGACTCTTTATTGTCTAGCTAGTTTTTATTTATTTACTTTTATTTTTTCTCTACATCTGACATTCAAATACTGCCTGCAAGAAAATAAGATGCACCCTGAGGTCCTGTTTATAGGTAAATTATGCTCTCGTGTGTTAGCTTGAAATAAATGTGTATCCTGTCTTTATACTCAGATTTAAAGAAGAAGGGAAAATCAGCTGAAAGTGCTCCAGAAGATGAAACGGAAGTTGAAAACCAGAAGGTAAAATGTTTTAAAATGATAAGATGAATATGCTGAATTGTCCTAATTCTGCAAATTCTTATGTATTTATGTGGAACTAATGAATTTCATAGGATATTTATGAACAGCAGTAGAATAGAATTGGGCACTTCTGCTAGTGAGAGAGTGAGAGGTTTTGGAACAAATTACCCAAGAAGACTTGACTGTGCCTTGATGTTTTAGGACTTAAACAAGATAACGTTCTAGAAGAGTTATTCTCCAGCTCAAAAGAGTTAGTTAACAGTGAAATGTAAGGGCATGGTGACCATAATGACTAGAGGACCAAATAGTCCTCTAGCTTTAAAACCATACCAGTATATTTGCATGTTAGGGCAGTGCGAAACATTTACCTGTAATGTCAGCACAGCATGAAGTATTTGTACATTAGAAAATGGTACTGTACACTTCTAGTTTTGAAGATTTAATTGTTCCAATTATTGTATATTTGCTTTCCATTCTTTTCCAGAACAAATTAAATAAATGCGTTAAGTTTAATTTTCATTTTGCAGTGTGCATATTGCCACAAAATTATATACATTCATTATTTTCAAGTTGGGGACATACAGTTATCAGGCTAGATTATTGGTATATGCTGCATATTTAATTTGTTTGCATTAATTTATATTTAGTAAGAGGGGAGATCAACAATTGTGTTTAATATTATACCTCAATTTTAAATGAATGTTGTTGCGGATGAACAATTAAGCACTCAGTGGTTAGGAAAGGCCTCAAATAAGACTGCCTTGACAACCCTGTTTCAAGTCATTTATATGCCTGTGTAGTCATATAGACCTTCTTGACATTGTTACAGTATCTTTTTTCATGAAAAAAAACTTATTTCATGGACTCTCTTCCGTTGTAACAGGCTGAAATGGCCCTACTTATGATGGACGATGAGGATGACGGCAGAAAACATTTTAATTACAAAAAGATTGTCGAACAACAGAATTTGAGCAAGAAGAAAAAGAAACTCTTAATGAAAAAGAAAGAATTGCTAGAAGATGACTTCCAGGTATTGGTGGACTCCTGATTGAGATTTACCATGATTTTTTGTTAGTATCCTCTTTTTAGGAAATAACTGGTGGTTCCCTATGATTTTCCTCCCTTAGTTGAGCTGAAGGACAAGAACCTTTGAATCTGCCCTTTTAGGGGGTTAGAGGCTGTTTTCAGAGGAAAGAAATATTCTGATAACAAGGTTGGAAGGGGTGGTGGCAGAGTTGAATTGTGACAAGATAATATTTATGCAAGTCCTTAAGCAACTCACTGCCCAAAATAGTCATTGGTACCTTTGTTCTGATCGGGATCCACTGCTGCTTCCCTGCTGGCCTGTTTTCCTCCAACAACAAAACCTTTCCTTCATTTGCCAGTTGAGGCATACACAAGATTTGTACAAATATTTACTTCTTGCCGCCATTCATGAGATTTTGTGGCTGGAACTATTTCAGTAAGGATGAATAATTTTATGAACTTCTGTCCCTTAATCAGCTCTGCTTCTGCGGATTACAGTCGTGTGTCATATTGCATTCAAAAGCTTTACTGTCATGGGCAAAGGTTACCTAAAATATGGTTCTCTCTGTCTCCAGGTAAATGTTGCTGATACAAGATTCCAAGCCATGTTTACTTCCCCACTATTTAATTTGGATCCTTCAGATCCAAATTTCAAGAAGACAAAAGCAGTAGAAAAGATCTTGGAAGAGAAAGCTCGCCGAAGAGACCAGAAGCAGCAAGGTCTTGAGGAGGCAAGTGAAGGACAGGAGAACAAGAGGGTAAAGAAGGGAGAAGTGGAAACGGCAAAGACAGAGAAAAAGGAAAAGAAATCCATAGATCCTGCCTTATCCATGCTAATAAAATCTGTCAAAAATAAAACTGAACAATTTCAGGCAAGGAAAAAGCAGAAAGTGAAATAACTGAACTTTTATTTTTATTCTGACTTAAGTTTAGTCTGTGCTCTTCCTACTGGCAACATCTACTGAAACTGTTACAGTATGCTCCGAGTCCTGTACACCAAAGTTGTCCTGAAATTAAGTCACTTCATTCTTGTGTCGAGTTTTGAAATGACTGACGATAACTTTTTCCTTGTGTCCCAACAAATGCCTTTTCTACTGTAATTTAAAACTACACCTGGAACTCATAGATATAAAATTAATGTTTTCAGAGCTGTTTAGTTTATTTCATGCTGTCACTCAAAGATACTGGAAGTGTTGAAGATGACTACAAAAAATCATCATGCTTATGGTTGTATTTAGAAGAAGAAATACTACCGCAGAGATTTAGTTTGGACTAATTTTTTGAGAAAATGTTTTCAGATATTTTTAATTCTGCAGGAATCTGTAAACATCTCTCATGAAGGTACTGATACAACTAAAAATAAAAATTGGAGAAATTTTTATACAAGTTTCTGCATCTTTTTAGAAGATTGTATATACTCCATTATTTTTCTTTAAATGAATAAGGAGTTCTGGATCTGGATCAGGGTAGAACTAGGTAATGGAAGAAGGTGCAATTTAGAAGAGTTTCATTAATAGATACCTGAAATAAATGGTTAAAATTGGCCTGAAGTAGTTGGGGCGCTTATTTTCTTCTGAACCTAAATAAAATTATGCCTATGGTGATATTTTTCTTTTACTAATGTTGCATTCCCATTATACAAAGTCACTCAGTAGCGCTAGCATTAAAAAGATTTCAAAAGCAGATCTAGATGGGAAAGTTTTAGAAGCAGTACAGCCCTGTTAGTGTCTCTGATGAAGGCACTGACAGTGCAGGGAAATTAAATACAGACATGTAGAAAATTATCTTTCTTCCCTAGAATGTGGAAATTAATATCTGAGCAGATAACTTCTAAACATGGCTGTACAGTGGTCAATGATGTTAGGATATTCAGACAGATGTAAATCTACAAAAAAAGGAGAGAGGAAAGAAAGATCCTTTGAGAGACAATCTTCCGCCAAGGGAAGCATCCCTGTGCATCTATCGAATAAGAGCCAGCGGATACAACATGAGGAAATGTAAGTTACACATACGAGAGTGATATACCTGTGCATCTGCTATGGGCAAGGACAAAAAACAAACTTACTTCATAACTGAAAAAATAACATTCATTTTAGAAGTTTTTGAAGAAAAGGTAAGTAGTTCTTTTTGATGCAGTTGTGTCAGGTTGGCACATGAGAGAACATGACGTGATTTCCACGCACGAAGTAAAATGTCAGCTGAAAATGTAATATTTTTGTGTGCTGGCTATTTGTACAGGTTTTCTAAGTATGATTCATTGTATGGCTAATACCTTGTACAGATATGAAATGCACAGAGGACAGTAGCTTGAATTTAATAAGATCGACAGACTGGAAGCACTGGTGATTGAAGGGCATGTATTTATGTGTATGTATTAAGTGTGTGGAAAATTGGACAGCCTAGTACAAAACTGAACTGGAATATAAATCAGATAAAAGATTATTTAAACCCAGTTTCTGGCTATCAGTCCAGTGGCCAGTAGTGGAAGATAAAAAATAGTGCATTTACAGTGTTATTCCCCAGGATATCATTCTATCCTCCAGTAAGTCAATGCTCAAAGTTTCCTGTGCCTGTCTTGGCATCTTTGTGTTTATTAGGCCTCAATGGACAAACTCAAAGAAAAAAAATCTGTTGTTTTTTTGAAGCCCTGTAAACTTTTGGGATCCACAGTATTCTTTGGCAATGAGTTCCACAGATAAACCATACATCGTGGGAAGAACATTTTGGTTTTGAACCTGCCGTATCCTAATAAATTTGTGAACAGCTGCTTGCTTGTGTTGCTTAAGATTTGATGGATTTCTGTCTTTGCCTCTCTCCAGCTGTTCCTTTTGAAGGCTCCATGGAAGGAATCCTGAGTGCAAAGCAGGCTGGGCTCATGGTATGGTCACCAGCACCATTTCCCTGAACTGTTCCCGTGTTCAAGCATGGGGCTGCTCAGACGGTCCTGTCGGGTGGCACCCCGATGTGATCTGGCATCTTTCTTGCCTTCGTAAGGAAAATCCTGCGTCTCTCCTGTGAATCCTGTCAGCTTCTCCTACCACGATGTGTCCTGTCCAGCACTTTCTCTTGGTGCGGCCTGCGCAGTTAGCGCAGCCCCAGGGCCTGCTCAGCCTGCCTGCAGCCCTAACAGGCTGCGCAATGCTGGGGAAAACAGGTTCACTAATGCTGCTTCACATAAGGTGCTTAAAAAGCTATCCAAAACTTGCTTTCATTCAAAACCCTGTTTTTTTGTCCTTACACGTTCATCCCGAGATAAAAGTAAATTGGGTAAAGCTATGATAAATATCAATTTAAACATGTATAAGACTGCTGGCATTTTCCCTAACCTTTTTAAGCTATTCAATATGGAAAGCAAATTTATAATCAACTTTATAAGGCTGAAGCAAGCTTTGTTAGCTTTGAATTGAAATGAATTGCTAAAGCCAAAACTTAAGACCTTAATGGTGCACTGAATTGCAAAATTTAATACAAAAAAAAAGTTTGTGTATGTAACTTTCTAAATTTATAAAGGCCAACCGAGGGTGTTCGGTTCTTGTGCTCGGACATTGGCATTTCACTTGTGCAGAGAGTCCCCTGAAGCTGTGCAGATCCTCAGTGAAACAAAACATTCATCCAGTGGCACCATTTCCGTTTACTGGAATTTTACCCATTTTTTAAAAATATATTTAAAATCTAAGTATTTCAAAAGCAGGAACTACGCTTATAGAAATTCCTTTCAATTGGAACTGAATTGGTTATTCTTGCTGATCTAGACAACCATAGGGTGGTTTTAACCATCTGTTCCTTTTAAGTATAAAAATGGCATCTTTAAAAGGTGACATTACTTTTCCTTATTATTGACATGTAACCAGTGAAAGTGGTAGCAATTGGCTAAAACATCACATTAAAAAAATAGGACCGTTAAAAATGAGACACAACTAATTTTTCTAGCAAGTTAATGTAGTTCTAGTGAAAAGTTGTTTGTCTCCAAGTTGGCAGCCACTAGAGGTTTTGCTAGAGTGTAAGCCAGGCATTTAAAGATCTAATATTACAAGTGGAAATCACAAGAGGGTTTGATTTATTTAATAACAGAAAAAGATCAGACAACCAGAGCTGAAGAGCCACGTATGTTTTCTATTATTCTTTCCTTCTAAAAATTAAATGCATTATTTCCAATTAATAACAGTTGGCAATTTTCATCCAAAAACAACATGAAGTTACGCCGGCACATTTTTTAGCAAGCGCTGCTGAAGAAAAGCACCCAACCAAAATACTGCAGTTTCTTGGCAATCTGTGCTATTATGTATTTTCAACTATAGGATTAAGTAGGCTCTTTTGCACTTGTCTTCAGTCATGAGTTGCATACTTGAAACTGGTTTTGTAGCTGTGGCAGTTAGGAAGAGCAACAAAAGCAGGATGCTGCTGTTGCATTGCTCTAAAAAAAGGTGACAGATCTGTTGCCTAGTGTACTTTTTCTGTGCTTGACATACAGTGTTACAAATAGGAATATTTCTGTAGGGGCCCTGAATCCAACTGAAATTGAATGTCACTTAAGGTCATTATTACTCTATATCCTCCTCACCACCAGCACATGAGTAATGCAAACTCAGCGCTGTTCCAGCTCATTTTCAGCCGTCTGAGACTATGCCAGCTTTGAACAACTTTGCTTCTAGGAGCTATGGAGTGCACTGGCAAATCTTACTCTTGTCCTGTCCTTGAAGTGAGGCAGGAGCCAAAGGCTGGTTGCCACTCCTGTACAGGCAAATGCTTTTGGACTGTGTTCCGTGCACTCCTTGGCACTACACAAATTTCATGGCTTGACACTGAAATTCTGCCCAATACACGTACACCTTTCTCGTGTTTCTGGGGCAAAGGAAAAGAGGGAAGAAAGGTAAGATGGTTGAGGCTGATAATGACTTTTGACAGCATGTGTTGAAGATTGTCAAAGACCGTAACTCTTAGCTACATCAGGAACATCGTCCATTGCAATCTGCAGGGTGTGTGGCTGAATCACTGCTCAAATGTGTTGGCAGTATTTCCATGGAAAATATAAGCCCTAACAGAAGCGGTTACCGAAAGGACTAAGAATAGCAAACTGTTTCAGAAGGGTAGTGTCTTCTAGAGGTGGTTATAGTTAAAATCGTGCACGGAGAATCCTCTGCTGTAGAGTACAGACCCCCAAACAAGCTTCCTACCTTCCTCCTTTCCCCCTTAATGCTAGGGCCATCAAAGAGGGAACAGGTGCCTGGCTGACCTTAGAACTGGGCTTAGAACCTGGCCTGAACCTTAGAACTTGGGCTTGCGCCGGGCTTGGGCAGGGATGGGAGCACAGCCTGAGCAACCGAGCCTGCTCCTTGACCACTTCTGCAGCAGGGAGCACAGGGCAGCCCCAGCAGGCAGCCAACCCGGGAAGTGGCACAGTGCCTAATGCTGCATCTGCTCCTCCCCTAGAATTGCTGGGAAGGACATCCTGACAGCCAGGGATGAGGAAAAAAAAAGAGTAATTCCCTCAAACAACAACCCCCCCACACACCTCTTTTTTTCCTCCCAACGAGTACTAGGTGTCAAAGAGAAGCTTCAAAAAGTGGTGGGTTGATAAGAAGTATTTCTCCTCTGGTGAATTTGAGAGCTCTGTATGAGGAAACTAAATGAAAATGCCTAGGAAACAAAACCATGTGAAAATGAAAAAACAAGTATGGAACCTGTGACATGAACTATGGGATTTCTTTTCAGTTACAAGAATGGATTCTTTTCTTTGAGCTGTGGTCTCAAAGAAAAATTCCATGAAGAGAGGCAGCCTTTGTTGTATTTTGGTCTTCAAGGGCTTGACTTTACAAAATAAATGCTTTGTTAGCATTTTTTTTTTTAATTTTCAGATTTTGCTTTAATGAAAGAAACCTTGTGCTTCGTGGAACCCCATCTGCCTCCCA